TTCTTTCTTTCTTTCTTTCTTTCTTTCTTTCTTTCTTTCTTTCTTTCTTTCTTTCTTCTTTTCCTCCTGTTTGGCCACCTTGGGAGTCTGGCCTCTCACTTTTCCAGCCCAAGCTAGGGAACCATGGATTTTACCTCCAAGCATGCGACCAGCTACTTCTAGAGAGGCCAGGGCTTCCACTCCACACTGGCCTAAGGTGGCTTCATCCCCCAGTGGTTGGCCTGCCAGGAGAACAACTGGATCTTCCGGTGAAATGTCCTTCAGTGACGCCACATGAGCCTTGATCTGGGCGACTGTCTCCTGGCCAGTCACTTCGAGGGTATGTAGATCCCGGACGTGGACAAAGAGTTGCATGTTGACAACTGAACGACTGAGCCAGCCACCACTGCCACGAAGGTGGAGTCCAGAAAGTTGTGATAAATTTTTAAAATTTAAATACACACTAGATACTTTGATCACTCTTTGTATAACTTTAAAGTGATACCTTATCAGAAAATAAGCACTTAGACTCTGGGAAGCTAGCTCAGTGGTTTAAGCACCTGCCTGGCAAGTCCAAGGACTCAAAATTGATCCCTGGTACCACATGCCGTGCCAGCCCCAAAACCCAGGCATGCAATGCCAGCCACCAAAACCAGGCATGCCTGTAATCCCAGAGCTGGGGAAGCTGAGACAGGAGGATCACTATGAGTCTGAGCAGCATAGCAAGAGCCTATGACAAATAAATAAATATTAAAAAAAGAAAATAAGCATTTAGGTGCTTCCATATTAGAATGTGTTCATTGCATAAATGTACTTCAAAAGGTAAATTGAAATAGCACATCCTATAGGCAAATAACCCAACAATGTACAGTTTTGGATTGGGATTAAAAAAAAATCCTGAAGGACTGGGGAGATAGCTCAGTAGAATAAGCACTTGCCTGGCAAGTCCAGGATCCTGCATTCAATCCCAACCCCCAGTACAAAAAAAAAAAAAATCATGAAATTGCAGTGTGTATGTTCAGATAGTATTATATGTCAAACAAAGTAGATGGCAAGATGGTGTTACCTTACAACAGGTAAGTAAAAAATTCACCTTACTGAGGCTTCACATTGGCAGAAATAATCTATAAGAAAACTTTAATTAAAATCATTTCACAAAATGTGAAAATGGCAATTATATTGTTTTAAATATAATTTTACAAGTAGATAGTTATCAACTACTAAACTACTACAGAAAGCAAAAGAAAATATCTCATCTCATTCCATATTGTTACTACATTTTTGCAAATGATAGTGTCCAGATTTGAGGCTCTGTGGGATCAATATTTACTTCATCTTTCCTATATGGAGCTTCCTTCCTTCTATTCGTTATGCATTAGCTAGACTGGACTTCTCCAGGCAACAAATCTTGTGGCTTTTGCCTTTCACCTTTCACCGGCACTCTGCTCTGGTACAATCACTTCTGGATTTTCTTCTAAGTCACCTGCTGAACACATTGATAGCTCCTCTCTACTCCTAAAGATGGCAGCAATAGTTAGAGCTAAAAATAAAATTAAGAGAAACAAGAGGAAAATGTATAGCATTTTATCAATGCTTTGGTTTTGATCCTTCTCACCACCTCTAGGGGCTTCATCACTAGTAACAATATGTTTTATAATTTCCTCTTGAAACGGAATTTTATTAAGTGGCTTAGTCACAGGACCACTGTCCAAACTACCCCCATATCCTGGATTTGTACAGTCCGGAGGAGAAAAGCCACTGTCACAATGGCAGTGCCTTAAATTGTTGCATATCCCATTCCCATGGCACAATATCTTTGGGTCACAGTCATAGTGGAACACATTCTGATCAGTACATGAGTAATCCTTACATACTTTGTTTATGGCACAATAAGTGCCATTTTCTACATTGCCACCTTCAGAGATGCCAGTGGTGTTATAGGCATCCAAGCTCCAGCACCAGTCATCTCCATGAGCAACCTGGATCAGCGTAAAATATGGCAAGAGTGGTGGCAAGACTGTAACATCTGTACACACAAGCTTTCCACAAAATATATCATTACCATGACAACGAATATATTCCTGATTATCCTTAGTGGGACGGCCACAGTTTCCAAAACGGTGCCCTTCACCGTTTATTGACAAGTAACAGCCCTCGGGGGCAGATCTTGCAGGAGAGCCAAATAGATTCAGGCACTGTCGGTCAGGGTCCCTACACTCACCCCCAAAGCAATAGTAAATTCTGTTACACAATGTGCCATCTTCCTTGTAGCTGTCTGCAGGACATTCTTCAGATGTACCATCACAGTATTCAGAGAGATCACATTCATCATGAGCAAAACGACATACATCCCCCCGTTCTTTAAAATTACAGTTGTCACAGCAGAGTCCCTGACTACATTCTGCGTACGGCTTCAGTGTACATGTTGGTTCACAGCATGGATCACTGTCACAAGCAGAACCACAGTCACACTGCTCCAGCTCCTCCACCACGCCGTTTCCACAGTTGGCATCCCTGCGTCTGCGGCCTTTTGGCTGTGGTTTGTTAAATAGGCAGGCCCCTCTGTGCTCATGAAGGAAATGGTAGAAGTAGTCAGAGCTGCAGTTGCTGAAGGCACTCTCTTTAGTGATATTTTCCTGCATGAGGCAGAAGTGCTTATCTCTACAAACGCAGGCTGAGTGGTCATGCTGGACACCCAGGTTGTGCCCAAGCTCGTGGGCCATGAGCGCTGCAGACAGGAGAGCATCTTCGTGA